TGTTGGTCATGGGAGTCCTGTGTGCAACGTTTGGTTTAATTCCATTGATGGAGTTCAGAATGCTCTTTGATTGTAAGTAAACTATAAATCCCAGCAACTATAACTCCCAAATGACAAAATCAATTTTTTTAGTGAAGGACATACATTGGGTTGTTAGGTGTATGCTGTCCAAATTTGGTGTCAATTCACCCACTGGTTTTTGAGTTCTGTTAATCCCACAAACGAACATTACATTTTATTTATATGGATTGGTTTTGTATGGTTTTATATTATATGCTAATGGTTTTAATTGTATTTTATTGTATTGGGGCATTGAATTGTTGCCAACTGCAGACTGTCTTGAGTTGCCTTCGAGCTGAGAAAGGAGATTTACAAATATAGTAAGTAAGTAAGTAAGTAAGTAAGTAAGTAAGTAAATAAATATATAGTTCATCCAGAGAGCACTGTGGACTCAAACAATGATAGATCTGGACCAAACCTAGCACGAATACTCAATATGAAAAAATATGATCACTGATGGAACTTGGGGAAAATGGACCGTGAAATTTGGGAGTTGTAGTTGCTGGGATTTATTGTTCACCTACAATTAAAGAGCATTCTGGGCCTCACTAATGATAGAATTGGGCCAAACTTCCCACACAGAACCCCCATGCCTTGAAGGCACTTGCTGGTGTGAGCCTCTCTCCAGCCTCACATGCTCTCCCCCACCTGCACATGCACAAGATGCTGCCATGCGCCAAGCATGCCTGCTCTCCCCTCCCTGCTTGGAGTCTCAGAAACAGCCCTCCCCTTGGCCGAGAGGCTAAGAGGCCGACTAATCACAGTRGAGGAGGGCTTGTGGTGGGAGGATTTGCTGTCTGTTTCCAAAAAGGAAGAAAAGGACAGGTGGAGAGATCTTCAGCCTTCTCTGTCAAAGGGATTCCTAAAACCATCAGAAATATGTGTTTTTGATGGTCTTTGGCAATCCCTCTGAAACCCCCTTATGACTCCGCAGGGGTCCCAACCCCCAGGTTGGGGGTTGGGATCCAAGAAAGTAATTCTACCCCTCTATTCTGCCTTGGTCAGACCACACCTGGAATACTGTGTCCAATTCTGGGCACCACAATTGAAGGGAGATGTTGACAAGCTGGAACGTGCCCAGAGGAGGGTGACTAAAATGATCAAGGGTTTGGAGAATAAGCCTTATGAGGAGCGACTTAAAGAGCTGGGCATGTTTCTCCTGCAGAGAAGGTGGAGGGGAGAGGTGGAGGGGAGAAGGTGGAGGGGAGACATGATGAGGGCCATGTATAAATATGTGAGGGGAAGTCATAGGGAGGAGGGAGCAAGCTTGTTTTCTGCTGCCCTGGAGACTAGTATGCAGAACAATTTTTTCAATCTACAGGAAAGGAGATTCCRCCTGAACATTAGGAAGAACTTCCTGATTGTGAGAGCTGTTCAGAGTGGAACTCTCCACCCTGGTGTATGGTGGAAGCTCCTTCTTTGGAGGCTTTTAAACAGAGGATGGATGGCCATCTGTCGGGGGTGCTTTGAATGTAATTTTCCTGCTTCTTGGGAAAATGGTGTTGGACTGGATGGCCCATGAGGTCTCTTCCAACTCTATGATGTTGACAATAATTCTATAACCAGAAAAGCATTCAATGAAAGTCACATTTGCAGAATGGGTCATTTTAGAAGATTTGACTATATATTTGCATTAAAAAGAAAAAGAAATGGTGCTACTTTCCTTCCTGGACTATAAATCTATTACATTAAATGAAATGTCAGGAAGGTAGGCAGACTAACAGATTAAGCCCTCTGGGTTGAGACCTGTGTACATTTAATCCAGTGTTCAGCCACAAAGATAAGGCTTATCGTTCACAGTGAATGAAAAAAGAGGATCAGGAGTGCCATGTGTTTGGAGAGAAACAAAAAGAGAACAGAAAACACAGGAGTGATTTGTTCCAGGGAAGAGCAAATATGCAATTGTTGAGTGACACAGACACAGGCATAAAATGCACCATATCTGCATTGGGCTGTATGGAAAGAACACAAAAAACACCCACACGTGTTGGACTGATGGCAGGAAGAAAAGGCTTTCACTTCCCGCATCACAATGTCCTCAGAGAAAAGTTATCTAATTCCACCTGAAAGAAATTAATTCAAGTCAATGGAAGCATTACCTCAACTCTAAGCTCTTGCATGGGGGTTTAGGGAAGATTTATTTTCAAAGTCAATTAAAACAAGCCCAGTCGTTGTTGTTACGTGTACCTTCAAGTCAATGACTCCAAGGCAACCTTATTGTGGTGTCTTCGTAGCAAGATTTGTTGTGGGAATTTGCCACTGCCTTCCTTTGAGGCTGAGAGAGTGTCACTTGTCCAAGGTCACCCAGTGGGTTCTCTGCTCCTTTGGCATTCGAACCCTGGTCTCCAGAGGAATAGTTCAATGTTCAAACCATTACACTATGCTCCCTATCAGAAAAAAAATACTTTTTCAAGTTGGGGAGAGGTATTTTTCCTCATTGAAAAAAAATTAATTGGAGTTCATAGAAGTGTATCCTTCCTTTTAAACTTTGGTATTGCTAGCTAGGGTATTAGAGTAAATTAATATCTGTCTTAATTTTATGTTGATGGTGCATCTACAATACAGAGTTTAAGGCTTCTTGACACCACTTCAACTGCCATAGAACCATGGAAGTTGTAGTTTTTCACGAGGTCTTTACCCTTCTCTCCCAAAGTGAACTGGTGCCTTACTGAACCACAACTCCCATGATTCCATAATACTAAGCCATGGCAGTTAAAGTGATGTCAAACTGCACTAATTCTACAGTGTAGATGCACCTTATGCCTTTTAATACTGGTATACATGTTTTAATGGTATTTTTATTATTATTAATATTCCCTTTTAATACCCTAAAAAGAGACACAAAGTCGCTAAAAACATTAATGACAGTACAATATAAAATTTAAAACCTTAAAAAACATACAACATACTATAGAAACCTAAAGACAATAGGATTAAACATCAAAGCTGTTAAAAAATAAACAGCTAAAACTATTAACACCATTAAAAACTTATTAACATACCTAAAAGTGCTATATCACGCCTCCTGGCTTGTTCTTATAATTTCCTTTTTATTGTGTTATTGAAAGCTTTTATGGCCAGAATCGGGTTATTATTATTATTATTATTATTATTATTATTATTATAACTTTATTTGTACCCCGCTAGCATCTCCCAAGGGATTCGATGCGGCTTACAACAGGCCGGAGCCCAACACAATACAACAATACAATACATAGCAAATAAAACAATTAAAGCAAAAAATAACAGTAGCAGTACAACAGGACATTATTAAAAACTGAGCCGGCCAGGAGTAGGGTACAGAATTAAAAGTGCTGAAGTGTCGGAGGGATATAGGATTAAAATATAAGTGCAGTGTGCTGTGAGTTTTCCAGGCTGTATGGCCATGTTCCAGAAGCATTCTCTCCTGACGTTTCACCCACATCTTTGGCAGGCATCCTCAAAGGTTGAGGGGTCTGTTGGAAACTAGGCAAGTGACATTTATATATCTGTGGAGTGTCCAGAGTGGGAGAAAGAATGCTTGCTCGGTGGAGACAAGTATGAATGTTGCAACTTGCCACCTTGATTAGCACTGAATAGCCTTGCAGTTTCAAAGCCTGGCTGATTCCTGCCTGGTGGAATCCTTTGTTGGAAGGTGTTAACTGGTCCTGATTGTTTCCTATCTGGAATTTCTCTGTTTTCTTAGTGTTGTTTTTTATTTGCTGTCCTGATTTCTTTTTAACATTTCTATCTATGTATTGAGGAGCCTCTGGTGGTTCAGTGGGTTAAACCCTTGTGCCAGTAGGACTGCTAACCAAAAGGTTGGCAGTTCTAATCCAGGGAGCGGGGTGAGCTCCCATCTGTTAGTTCCAGATTCTCGTGTGGGGACATGAGAGAAGCCTTTCACAGGATGGTAAAACATCCAGGTGTCCCCTGGGCAACGTCCTTGCAGACGGCCAATTCTCTCACACCAGAGGCGCCTTGCAGTTTTTCAAGAAAAAAAAGAAAGAAAGAAAAATCTATGTATTTTAATTATATTATATTGTACCCCACCTGGAGGCTTGAGGAGAGGTGGATAAGAAACCAATAATAATAGCAGCAGCAGCAGCAGAAAAAATACATTCTTGGTGTTCCTGCAGTTATTTGGGGTGTTGATTCAGAAAATTGCATTGGATAGACCACATCAGCTGTAGCTTCTTAGATATGGTTATCATGGTTTTCTGTAGGTATGTAAATGAAGATTGGCACAAGCAGTCCCCAAGTTATGAACAAGATAGGTTCTGTAGGTCTGTTCTTAAGTTAAATTTGTATGTAAGTCGGGACAGATATTTTTAAAAGTATAACTCCAGCCATATATATATATATATATATATATATAGAGAGAGAGAGAGAGAGAGAGAGAGAGAGAGAGAGAGTTGGATAGCACAGGGAAGGATTAATACCGCTGTGGTGTTTGTTTTGCTGCCTGTACCCCTATTCAGAAAATTTCACCTCACTTTCTGTCTCTGTCATAATTGGATATTGAAAAATCTGGCTTGTTTTGGACACAAGGATAGGTGCGGAAGCTTCAATGGAGATCCCTTTTCCCCATGATAACTCTTTCAGGAGTAAATTTCCCTTCCTAGAAGATTTATCTCACTTCCTGTTGCCTCACCCCTGTTTGTAACTATGAATTGGTTGTAAGTCAGATGTTTGTAACTCAGGGAATGCCTGTGTAGGGCATATGTTCTGTATCTCATAAAGCAGAACTGATAGGGGAAAACTGGTAGCAATTTTGGAATCAGCAAGTCAAATATACCTAGAAAGGAGGCTAACATTTGTGGCACCAAACTGTGTAGTAATAAATCACAGTCAAGTCAAACAGATGAAAGCTGGCCAGATGACAACGCCACACAGAAGGCAAGGAGTTCGCTCAGTCCAGGCTGGGTGAGGCTTTGGCTGGGCTTCTCAAACATCTGGATCAGATTAGACTTCCTGACTTCTGGCTGGCTGAAGTTCTTGTCCTCCTTTCTTCCCTCCCTCAGAGTTTCTTTCTTTCCTGACTTTGGCCGGGAGGGGAAACAAGACAGACGTTTGTGTTTCCCGGAGAGGGATTTTGAGGAAATTCAGAGGATCTGAGAGATTGTCTTCCTTCCTAAATCCAGACCCCAAGATCCCAGGAGAAAGAGGAGAAAGAGTCATGATCCAGCTGCTGCTTTTGGGGCTGCTGCTGGCCTCAGCAACTCAGGGACAAAGGGACGAGCTGAGCTCCGAAGAGGAAAGAAAGGCTCTGATGCTCAAGGTGAGAAAAAGAGACAAAGCTCCTTAGGCCTTTCTGGCTCTTGAAGCCTGGTTGCCAAGCCCCAGGGGCAGAAATGGGGCACCACAGTTGGGAGTGTGGGTGGCACCCCACTTTGGGGCTGCACCCACACTGTACACCAGGCATGCATCTATAGCAGCCATGGACAAACTTGGGCCCTCCAAGTGTTTTGGACTTCAATTTCCACAATTCCTAACAGCCAGTAGCTGAAGTCCAAAACATTCAGAGAGCTGAAATACATCCATGCCTGCTGTAGAATAAATTCACTTTGACACCACTTTTAACTGCCATGGCTCCAGGCTATGGGATCCTAGGAGTTGGAGTTTTGCACGGTATCTAACCTTCTCTGCCAAGGAGTGTTGGTGCTTCACAAAACGGCAGCTTCCAAAAGCCCTGGCAATTTAAGTGGAGTCAAATTACATCCATTGTACACTGTAGATCAGCATTTCTCAAAATGTAGATTGGGACCCCTGGAGAAGTTGCGAGGAGGCCTTCGGAGGGGTTGCTGAAGACCATCGGAAAACACATATTTCTCATGGCCTTAGGAAACCTTTGGCAGAGAAGGCTGAATATATTTCTGCCTGTCCTTCTCTACCTTTTTGCAAGCAGACGGTGAATCCTCCCACCAAAATTCTGCCTAATTTAGTCTAGATCCATCATTGTTTGGGTTCACAGTGCTTTCTGGATATAGGTGAACTACATCTCCCTTAAATCACTGTCAATTCCTCCCAAATGCCTCCAGTATTTTCTGTTGGTCATAGGTATTCTGTGTGGGAAGTTTGACACAATTCTCTAGTTGATGGGGTTGAGAATGCTCTTTGATTGTAGGTGAACTATAAATCCCAGCAAGCACAACTCCCAAATGTCAAGGTCTATTTCCCCCAAACTGCACCAGTGTTCACATTTGGGCATATTGAGTATTCGTGCCAAGTTTGGTCCAGATCCATCATTGTTTGAGTCCACAATGCTCTCTGGATGTAGGTGAACTACAACTCCAAAACTTAAGGTCGATACCCACCAAACCCTTTTAGTGTTTTCTATTGATCATGGGAGTTCTATGTGCCAAGTTTGGTTCAATTCCATCATTGGTGGAGTTCAGAATGCTCTTTGATTGTAGGCTAACTATAAATCCCAGCAACTACAACTCCCAAATGACAAAATAACCCCACCCCCAACCCCACTAGTATTCAAATTTGGGTGTATCGGGTATTTGTGCCAAATTTGGTCCAGTGATTGAAAATACATCCTGCATATCAGATATTTACATTACAATTCATAACAGTAGCAAAATTACAGTTATGAAGTAGCAACGGAAATAATGTTCTGGTTGGAGGTCATCAACTGTATTAAGGGGTCATGGCATTAGGAAGGTTGAAAACCACTGGTATAGATGGACCGTAACACCTTGTTTTGCTTCTGCAATAGCTCCTCCATTGTTCTCTAAGCAGAATGGTAACCTGACCCAGAGTTGTCACTGAAACATGACTGGATGAGAAACTTCTAGCCAGCTATGGGTTGGAGTCCCAAAAAAGTAATTCCTCCAGACTTTGAATCTAGGGCTTCTCTATACCAGACGTGGGCAAACTTGGGCCCTCCGGGTGTTTTGGACTTCAACTCCCACTTTGTGGGATTCAATTCTAGGAGTTGAATTCCAAAACACCCGGAGGACAGGAGTTTGCCCAAGCCTGGTCTATACCTTCCCACTGAAACCAAGGTGGTTTAGACTTACACTTTTGTGGGCTTGGAATTTGTGCATTTGATTATTTACAGAGCGGAGTAATATGCTATCTCTAGGAATTTATTATGTTCTCCAATGTGACTTTATGTCTAACTCTGCTGGAAGTTGGCCACAGAAGCTTGCTGGAGGATCTTGAGATTTTGTAGGCATTTGTAGATCCTCCAGTACAATTCTATGGTCAACAAACACTATAAATTGATAATAGAGCATGCTGGAGTGCCTAGAGCAGGCATGGGTAAACTTTGGCCCTCCAGGTGTTTGGACTTCAACTCCCACAATTCCTAACTGCCTACCGGTAACCCACCTAGTCAGTAGTTTTTTCCCATATGCTGGGTAAAGGAGGAAGCACCCCCATTCCTTCTGATTACACATCCATAACACTTTTGTCAGGAGAACTGAGGAGTAATCGCTCCTTTCTCTTTTCTGATCTGAAAGGTCCCACACTTTGTTTTCACCTAGAAAAATGCTGCACAATCCCTGGTGTTTACCTTGAAATCTCTTGGGAAAGCTCCCATTTCCAGTCTTGTTGTTCAGTTATTCTAGACGCTGAGCATATGGGCCCCGTCCTGCTCCCCACCCCTCTTTAGATCTTAAGGTATATTGCTTCTCTTCAAAAATGTGATAAGCATCCTCTCCTGTCTCTTGACACCAGAGCTGTCTGGCACAGAATTCTAAATACCTCTCAAAATTACAGATCATGGGAGTGAGCCATGGCAATTACAGTGGCATCAAAGTGCCATAACTGTCTAGTTATGAAAGAGACTCTGCCTTGGGGAACCTCTGCTCCTTCTGATGAGTGGAAGCTCTGGATGCTTGTCCCAGATTCATGTTGTGATGGTTCCACTGCCCAACAGTGCTGTTCTCATCCATTACAACAGGGGTGTCAAACTCATTTAATTGGGAACCACATCAGCCTTATGGTTGATTAGCATTGAATAACCTTGCAGCTTCAAAGCCTGGCTGATTGCTGCCTGGGGGAATCCTTTGTTGGGTGACTGTAGTCTTTGGCCGTAATGAGATTCGATCCCCAAATTTCTAGCACTGCAGTTACCTATATCTTCAGTTGAACATTTAGAAATTATTTTTATTTTCATTTTATGCTAATTCAACAAACAACACACAATGCCAAAGTTACAAAATCAAATCAGACAACAAAGAAAGAAAACCCAACCATAGAATTATTGTGGCATTGCTTCTCCATATCCACTGCATAGTTTGTTATAATTTATCAGTTCTCTTTTTCTGAGCTTCTTTCTTCTCTAGATCTCATTCTCATTACAGACAAATCTATTTCAATTTAGTAATGCATCCCCAGAACAGGGGCAAACTTACCCAAGGGACTGCAAGCTCAGCAAATGGGAGAATTCTATGTGCGAATGATTTTCAATGTCTTATCTTTTGCAAAGCTAGAAATCTGGAGACTGAAGGAAAAATCTGTTCAGGGAAGCAGAATTATTGGGGAGGGGAAGGCAACAGCTTGATTTCCTTTGCTGACTGGGGGATACTGGGAGTTGGAGTTTTTAAGAGTAACTTTGCTAACTCTAGAAACAAAGGGGTCCAAGCTGTTTGCCACATTCTACCAGACCACAGGAACAAAGAGAGGAATGATACAAGGCTAGAGCAAGTTTGTGGAAAGTGTGTGTATGTGAAAGCAGGCAAGGATGTGATTTACTGGAATTTCCTTTCGTTTCTTAATTGCAGAATATTATTTTCTGTTGAAATACAGTTAAAAATAGCAGCAACATGGGGGAAAAGATGAGAGAGAGAGAGAGAGAGCATGAACACACGTAACAGCACAATAAGATCACTAAAGAAATAAAGAAACCCATTGATGCTTGACACCTACTTGCTGCCACTTTTTCTTCCAAAGTAACTGCCATCCTTCATGGGCTAAAAAACAAAGAAGTGCTGCCAAATATAGGATGTTTGTGTGTTCTCAGACAGGGCCTAAGTGTGAAGGGGAAGGTTGAACCTTCACCATATTTGATGGTCCTCATTGTCCTTACTTTGGAGGCTTGTGTACTTTCCAACATTTCACATGATCTCAGTCATGTATGGCCCAGCAACAGGCCAAGGTGGCAAAAGTTATTAATGAGGTCGATCACACAAATCAGGAGATGCTGCTGTAGTTTGCTTTTGCCTGAACTTATTGGGAAGCACAATGTTGGAGTATAGCAAGCACCTAAGGATTTGTGTGTGATCAGAGAAAATTGCAGGCCTCAGATCAGAGAGAACAGAAGGCAGATAAGCCAAGGCGAAGGATGTTTTGAATTCCGATGCTGGTTCCCAGGCAACAGGGGAAAGTTAAAAGTCCTTGGGCTCATGGGGAGTTTTCCCGAGAAACTAGATTAGGTCTGAGAACAGAGGGAATATGACACAGACAAGTTAAATATTCTTACAGAAGCCGTGGGAATACCTTGAAGTCCAGGTGTGTTCAGCAAAATGTCATGGGTGTCCGGATGGGCTTAAATTAAGTAGTTTGGTTTCAAGCCTCTCAGAGGAGACAGCATTACTTAAGGATAGTTTTCCTGTTTCCTGTTTCTGCTCTCAAGTTCATGATTCAGGTTTCCTGATCTGGTTCATGTCTTTGTTCCTGTAAGGGTTTGCCTTGGAAGAAGCTTCTGTTTCCTGGTTAATGGATTTATGTTTGGATAACTGCTTTGGATTCTGGTTCTCTTGACTTTATGTATGGTGCCATTTTTGGATTACTGCTATTTTGTATTTCCTGCTTTTGGATTTCTATTCTACTGACACTTTTGGAATTACCCATTTTTCCTTTGTACCTGCTTCCTTTAATAAACATTTCTAGATAATATTACTGTGTGAAAAGGTATTTTAGTGAAATGCTGGGTGAAAAGGTATTTCAGTGCTAGAGTGCGACACACAAGATTTCATCCCTTTCTCTCCCCTGTTGAGCAGAGGCCATACCACTTTGGATCTTGAACTCAATTTGCAACAAATGAAAAAGGGAAATAGGCAAATAAAACATACGGTATATATTTTTTTAATCTGAGAAAACATCTCTCTAGGAAATTCTCAGTCCTCCAGTGCAAATCTGGAAGGTGAAGATAGACTCATGTTGCAAGAACCTAAAAATGTCTAGAGAAGTATTCTATCTAGGAATCTCTACATCCATCAGCATGATTTCTGGTGGAAGTTGTCCATAAAGGACCAAGAAATTTCTAGATATAACATATTCATCAAAGCCACAAATAATCAAATCCACAAAAGTCAGATCCCAAATGTGGAGGGCCGACTGTACGGCATGCAACGTGTATAAAACATATATGCTTACAGATGCAGCTGAAGTTTAAATCAATGTTAGGAGGAGTTTTCAATCTAATGTAAAGTTTTCAATCTAATGTACTTAGGCTGGATATATATTGCCTAATATCCCAGGATCTTAACTAAGATTATCTTCTTATTTCAGATTATCTGGCAGTATAGATTAATGTAAACTGGTTCAAAGTGGATAATCTAGGATCAGATCCTGGAATACAGGGCAATGTAGATCCAGCCTTAATGAACCGTTTCACGCAAGCAGCAACCACTCAGGAAACTAAAAAGCTGGTTTCAGTTTGATCAGCCAGAACTTGTGTGAAAACATAAATAAATGGGAAAAGCTGTGGAAAGAATGGAAAGGCAGAATTTTAGGAACTACCCAAACACAATATTAGATACTTGCTAAGATAGAAAGCAAACAAATAATGACGGACTAAAAGAATACAAACACAGACATAAACATTGACTTGGCCATCAGTTGAAAGTGCTAAGCCAACTCACAAAACTTGGTTATGATTCTAAAAGAGTTATATGTTTTCGTAATCAAACAAGATCCCAAAATCCAGGCTTTGTTCCAGGCGTCTGTCACAACAACACAGCATCAGTGGCATCTGGTCAGCTAGCAAATGAGCCAAAGGCGTGTTGGAATCAAAACATTGTCTTACAAATAAAATAAATGTAATGTGGGGGCTGAGTGTTTTTCACATTGTAGCACAAATGAGTTCAAACACTTCCTGTCATGTTTTCCTGGGGTGAAACCACAGAAAGCATGCCTTTGTCCTACAGAATCATAGGATTTGTAGTTAGGTGAAAGAGTTAGAGTTTTCTAACAAACCGCTTTAAATACATACTCTCCAACTATCCTGTTTTGAAAGAGATAATCCCAATTACTACTTCATCACACTAGAGATTGAATCCATTTTAAATCTGGTTGCTGCCTCCTGCAAAATTCTGGGGTTTGTAGTTTAGGGAGGAGCCTTTAACAGCCTCACTAAACTACAAACCCCAGAATTCTGCAGGAGGCACAAACCGGATTTAAAGTGGATTCATTCTCTAGTATGAGGAGTAGTCTGCTGCCATTCCACTTTCTCGTCCACTTTGAAAATGTTAGTTTCTCTCTCTTCCTCAGGACTTTTGTCCTCAGTTTAATTCATTTGCTTCAACCTGAATTTACAGTGCACTCACAATTTTCTCTTAATGAGTTTAGCAAAAAAGAGAAAAGACAAGAGGGGCAGAATCTTGCTCTGCCCAGTAAAGCAAGGCAAAATCAAACTGCTGCATCTGATCCTAGCTTGTCTGTTCATCTTCCTTAATAACTCTTGCCATTTTTACCACACTCTGATTTTCCTTGGCTCATTGTTTTCATCTACAAAATGTTTTAACTGCCTAAAATGGCTAAAAAATTGAATGTAAAAATAGGCTTTTAAAATAAACAGAATGAAGAGCTGCAACCTATTTAGCAGCCAATTTGCAGCTCCAGGGAATGTCTAGAAGAGGAAACTCACTTTGTTTTTTCAAGGGCAAAATCCATGAAATCTGAAGGGGTGGAGGGTCACAAAACAGCCTTAGGGGGTGCTACCTCCCCTGAAGCAGATTTGGGATGTGATGCAAAAGCAGCGACAGCAGACAGTCAATTATTTACATGGTTATTACTGCCAAAGATCGGAAGAGGCCCATATGGGATTTTCTGCCTCGTGTGCCAAAAGAACTCAGCTGGCATGCATTTTGACTTGGGTAAGCGGTAGTAATGGGAGCCAATGTGGTGTCGTAGTTTGAGCATTGGGCTCTGACTCTGGTTCAATTCCCCGCTTTCTAGAGGACCTTGGGTGAGTCATACACTCTCAGCCACAGAAAATCACATGATAAAAGATAAAAGTTCCCTTTGACTTTAAGTCTAGTCGAGTCCGACTCTGAGGAGTGGAGCTTATATCCATTTCTAAGCTGAAGAGCCAGCGTTGTCCTTAGACACCACCTAAGCTATGTGGCCAGCATGACTGCATGGCGTGCTGTTACCTTCCCCCAGAAGCAGTATCTATTGATCTACTCACATTTGCATGTTTTCAAACTGCTAGGTTGGCAGAAGCTGGGGCTAATGACAGAAGCTCACCAGATTCTGCAGATTTGGACCACTGACCTTTTGGACAGCAAGTTCAGCAGCTCAGAGTTTAACGCACTGCGCCACCGCAGCCCCTTGACATGATAGGGTCACCATAAGTCAGAAATGATCTGAAAGCATACAATAACAAAAGTTGTAGTGAGAGCACTATTTGCTGCTCTGCCTAAGGCAGCAAAGTATCTAGGTCTGTTTCTGCACAGAGTGGACCTCAAATAACATTATATAAACTCCTGCTTCTTCACTTTTCCTCCTAGCCTGTTTGGCAGGGTTCCTATGATGATACATTTAAAAACTTCATTCACACTTTCCTGAAAGCATTTAGGTTTGGTAGCAGGAGACAACATTGATCAGACCAATTGAGGCTCGGCGGGGTGCTCGTCCCTGGTTCTGTTTTGGTCCACATATCCTGATACTCCTGCTTTTCTTCCTGTCACTCTCTCTTCCGTTTTCATGTTTCAAGGATGAAAACAGTGTTACAAGGAAGGACAGTAGTCTAGAGCTTGGGAAGTTTCTTTATTGGGCTAGAATTTGGAGGGCGTTTGGGGATTTTTAGCATTCAGCATTTATTTTTCTGCTTGGGCACAAATAGAGAAGGATAATCGGTTCTGTACTGATATAACAATTTGATAACACTTTAATGATCATGCCTCAATGCCACAGAATCCTGGGATTTGTAGTTTGGTGAAGTACTTAGTGCTTTCTAGTTCTCTACTAGAAAGCACTACCTCAGTGCTACGAAAATGGTGGTGTATGGACTACTGCTTGCCTGCAAGTTATTGGTTGCCAATCCATCATGAGTTTTCAGGAAAGAAACAGTCACGAATGGGTTCAAATAGGGTGCATTATAAGGAAAATAATTGTCACTACTGCATCTGTTTGCCTGAGGTGCACTGATCTATTTTAGAAGCATTGAATCATTAAATTCTAAGTGCCATAGGAAATAACAGATTCCAAAAGTTCATAAGACAAAACCATGGCAATATAAGTGCTGAAACACTGCAAATGTGTAGTGTGGATACATTCCAAGAGAGAGATTTCTGCGATGCAGATGCAATGGCTGGGAAGGTTAATTTTTGGGATAATTACCAACCAGCAGGACCTGTTCAGGAATACAGGGAATCACAGTTCAAACCTCAGCTTTCCAAGGTTTTAGATGGATTTCCCTGGTGGTAATGCCTCCGTTTGTCCTGCTGCCACCTCCTTTCATGATTTGCTATGATTCCTCTCCATCTAGCACCTGCAGGAGATCCTGGAGTTGTCAGAAATGACAGAAGAGGAGCCTGTGCACGAGGTCACCTTGAAGGAGACAGAGGAAGACTCGACTGGCAAGGAGATCTTTGAGGAAGAGGAGGAGGATGAAGAAGAGGAAATGCCTCCTCGCACCACTCTGTTGACCCCAACGACAGCGTCACCAGCTCAAGAGGAGGAGGATGGTTTCACCTATGTCTGTGAGTATGGCAGAATAGCCAGGTTGCCTCTTTTCCAAAAGTAAACCCATAATATTCAAAAAGGTTCCAGAGCATTCACAGCCTCAAAGAAACCTCTCCAATTTATTTATTTATTTATTTATTTATTTATGTATGACATTTATATGCTGCTTTTCTCACCTGAAAGGGGACTCAGAGCGGCTTACAAGTCATATGTACATACAACATACTACATTATTAGTGTTGTACTAATATATCATTCATAATATTAGTATTATATAATATTATATTGTTTTGTGTAAAATATGTTGTATATTTTCCATCTACATTTAAAGGGGTGTGTATGTATGTTGATAACTGAATGGGAGATATTGTCTCATCCAGTGGTTCTCAACCTTCCTAATGCTTGACCCCTTAATACAGTTCCTCATGTTGCGGTGACCCCAACCATAACATTATTTTCATTGCTACTTCATAACTGTAATTTTGCTACTGTTATGAATCGTAATGTAAATATCTAATATGCAGGATGTATTTTCATTCACTGGACCAAATTTGGCACAGATAACTGATACATCCAAATTTGAATACTGGTGGGGTTGGGAGGGATTGATTTTGTAATTTGGGAGTTGTAGTTGCTGGGATTTATAGTTCAACTACTATCAAAGAGCATTCTGAACTTCACCAATGATGGAATTGAACCAAACTTGGCACAGAGAACTTCCATGACCAACAGAAAATACTGGAAGGGTTTGGTGGGCATTAAACTTGAGTTTCAGAGTTGTAGTTCACCTACATCCAGAAAGCACTGTGGATCCAAACAATGATAGATCTGGACCAAACTTGGCACAAATATGCATTATGTCCAAATGTGAACACAGAGTTTGGGGAAAATAGACCTTGACATTTGGGAGTTGTAGTTGCTGGGATTTATAGTTCACCTACAATCAAAGAGCATTCTGAACCCCACGAACGACAGAATTGGGCCAAACTTCCACACAGAACCCTACGACCAACAGAAAATACTGTGTTTTCTGATGGTCTTTGGCGATCCCTCTGACACCCCCTCACAACCTCCCCAGGAGTCCTGACTCCCAGGTTGAGAAATGCTGGTCTAATCCATAGCCAGTCCTACCACTGGTCAGAGTAAGACAGTTGTCTCAGGTGGGTAAAGATTTGTTGTGGCTATTCCACTCTTTTAGAGGGCAAGTTGTTGTGTTACACACACACTGTAGGCTTCCTAAAAAACATAGTTTTGGCCAGAACTAGCAAGGCTTGTCTTCCAATTTCTACATATTGATGAACATTGTGCACCAGCTCCTTTTAAAAATAAGAGGTGAATTGTTTGTTTGTTTGGATGGAAGGCCTCTGCAGAATCTTTGGATTTATTCTGCAGAGATTTGAATTTGAATCCCACTTCAGCCATGAACTGATTTGCAAACTGCTGCTATGTCTTCCCTTAGCAGCCGTTTGGAGAAGCTCAACACATCCCCGTTTTTCGAGCCTTCCCTCCCTTACATTTTATCCCGAGCTTCCAAATGATAAATCTTTTTTGCTCTCTTCCATAGAATGCTCTTTGTTTCGTCCCTTGTCCTCAGGCACAGAAGGCAATTACATTGAACCCAGATCAATTCCCGACATAAATCTTGATTTCTTTGGTCTTGACAGGACGCAAAATTCAGCCTTCCCATCAGTGCCTTCCTTTGACTGATTTTCTAGATCATCCCAAAAGATCCATCTGCTTCAGTATTTGATTTTTAGTAAAATGCTTTGGAACCTAAGAGAAAGAAATGCAAGCCCTTTCCTTGTAGTATTGCATCCCCAGAAACAGGTACTTAGAATGGAATCTGCAACAAAATGTTTCAGCATTAATTCAGAGGGTAGAAAAGTTTCTTTTCTTGAGTACAACTTCCAGAAGTCTCTAGCTAGCATAGCCATGGCCATCTTGGCTGGCGGACTCTGGGAAAAGATGTACTATTTTCTGTGTTCTGAGCAACTTCAGGATGTATTCATCCTTGCCATCCTTCTGAATTCAGTCTGTGTATGCCCATTTCTGAGTTCTATGGGCCACTGTAACTGAACACAATTTAACCCCTTAGGTAACAACAACAACAACAACAACAACAACAACAATAATAATAATAACAATCTGTATATAATGTGCCACCCATACCTACACAAAACCATGGATAATAATCCTACAGAAATGAACAATTTCTGCCAGAAGCTACCCTAGAGTCACCTTGGAGGACCTAGACATTTCCTAGAAAGGTATAGACTAGTGGGAAAGGTGGGCTCACCTACAGTTTTAGTGGCCTTTGACCATCCTAGTCTCTGCATCCAAACGTTTTTTCTGGAAAAAATAAGAGGTAAATTGCCTCCATGGGTGGTCGGTCACCTTTTAAATAGGTTATTGGAGTTTGACATAAAGATGAAGTTTCGCCTCCCGTGCCAAAAGAGTGCGGGCACTTCATCAAACTACAACTTCTAGGATTTCATAACTTTGAGCCATAGCAAATAAAGTGATGTCAAACTGCATTATTTCTAAAGTGTAGGTGCACCCTAAGAATAACTGAAAACCATTATGGTTATTGGGTTGCTTTGAGTTTTCTGGGATGTATGGCCATGTTCCAGAAGCATTCTCTCCTGACATTTTGCCCACATCTATGGCAGGCATCCTCAGAGGTTGTGAGGTCTGTCGGAAACTAGACAAGTGAGGTTTATATATCTGTGGGATGTCCAGGGTGGGAGAAAGAATTCTTGTCTGTTTGAGGCAAGTGAGAATGTTGCAATTGGCTACCTTGATTAGTATTTAATGGCCCTGTAGCTTCAAAACCTGGCTGGTTGCTGCCTGGAAGAATCCTTTGTTGGGCGGTATTAGCTGGCCCTGGTTGATTCTTGTCTGGACAAGTTAACACCTCCCAACAAAGGATTTCCCCCAGACAGCAATCAGCCAAGCTGCAAGGCCATTAAATGCTCATCAAGGTGGCCAATAGCAACATTCACATTTGCCTCAAGCAGACAAGAGTTCTTCCTCCTAGCCTGGATATTCCACATATATATAAACCCCACTTGCCTAGTTTCCAACAGACCCCTCAACCTCTGAGGATGCCTGCCATAGATGTGGCTGAAACGTCAGGAAAGAATGCTTCTGGAACATGGTCATACAGCCCAGAAAACTCACAGCAACTCAGTGATTCGACCCACGAAAGCCTTTGACAACACATTATAGTTATATTGCAGACAAAGTAAAGTTATTTAATGTTATGTTACAGTAGAAATGTAACTTAGGTCTACCTTGTTGTTTTTCATAATGAATCAATGCTAAACTCTGAGAGAGGGAATGAATACTGTGCAGGATAAAATTTTAGCAGAGCTATGTTTAATTTGGTTGACTTTCTGTAGAAGGATTCGACAACAACCCAACCCTGGAAAAGAAAACATAATTACCTAAAAAGAGATTTTAAGACATTTACCAGCTCCTAGAAATGTCTCATTTCTGGAACTCAGTATTTTTTTTCTCAGCATGAAGGTGAGACACAGAAACACATGCACTTTAGTTACATTTTGGTGACGTGTAGCACCAGCTATATTGAATAGAGGAGTTTAAATGGAAGCCATCACAAGAGTGCAATGAACAAAGAAAGGCAATTTTGATTATACTCTTTTCCACTGTCAGGTTTGTTCACAGCATCAGTTGCTTCCATCTTTATGTAATCTTAAAATCCTAGTTTTTCTTGACTGTTTGAACATTCTTGATTGTAGTTGGATATGTAATACAGGCCCCATCTACACTGCCAAATAAAATCCGGATTATCCGATTTGAACTGGGTTATATGGCAGTATAGACTCATATAATCCAGTTCAAAGCAGATAATCTGATTTGATAATCTAGATTATATGGCAGTGTGTATCCAGCCACAGTCAGCCCTTCACATTTGGTGTTTTGGGTTGTTGTTTTTTTACAGATTTGATTATTCACAGATTTGATTTAAATGTTCTCTCTAGGAATCTTTAGGGTCCTCCAGTGCAACCTTATGGTCAATTTGCACTAGAAATTGCTCATAGAAGATTTAGGCCCCATCTATACTGCCATATAATCTAGAGTATTAAGACAGACAATCCACATTATCTGGATTGTATGCATTTACAACTGCCATGTAATCCAGTTCAAATCTGGATTTTAAATTGCAGTGTAGATTAGATCCAGTCATAGAGAGGTGTTTATTTACATTTTTTCTATATTCATGATGGTCCTGAGCCTCTAACCCAGGGCTTGGGCAAACTTCAGCCCTCCAGATGTTTGGACTTCAACTCGCACAATTCCTAACAGCCAGTAGGCTGTTAGGAATAGTGGGAGTTGAAGTCCAAACCACCTGGAGGGCTGAAGTTTGCCCATGCCTGCTCTAACCCCACCAAAAGTAAGGGATATGTTTGTGTGTATATATATGTATGTACATATGTGTGTGTATGTGCATATGTGTGTATATGTGCGTGTGTGTATACACTAAAAAGTAAAGATGTATTTTCGAAGGCTTTCATGGCCATAATCACTTTTTTTCTCCATGTCAGAAGCAGCTTGAGAAACTGCAAGTCGCTTCTGGTGTGAGAGAATTGGCCGTCTTCAAGGATGTTCCCTAGGGGGTGCCCAGATGTTTTTGATGTTTTACCATCCTTGTGGGAGGCTTCTCTCATGTCCCCGCATGGGGAGCTGGAGCTGACAGAGGGAGCTCATCCACGCTCTCCCTGGATTCGAACCTGCAACCTGTCGTTCTTCAGTTCTGCCGGCACAGGGGTTTAACCCAGTGAGCCACCGGGGGTTCCATGCTTGATCTACACTGTAGAAGTAATGCAGCTTGATACCACTTTAAGTGTCATCGTTCAATGCTACAAAGTCATGAGAGTTGTAGTTTTGCATCATCTTCAGCCTCATCTGCCAAAGAATGCTGGTGTCTCACCCCACTATACCTTACAAGATTCCATAGCATGGGACGGTGACAGCTAAAGTGGTGTTTAATTAT